ATCAGTTTATTTGATCTATGGAGCATGGATTGTAATTTCTCTAGGAAAAAAGTTGAACTGGCATACCCACCTAAATTATGCAAAACATCCCTGAGAAAAATTACTACTGGGTTCTTAAGAGCATTGTTTCCAGGAGTATTCTTGGTGTTAGCTGATTTGGAATGACTTCATTTATTTTGAGAGAACTGGCTATTATAAGTAATGCTCACACCCCCTTTTCATTTAACAAAATCACTTCTGAACTCTCTATTATTGGTCTGTTTGAAAACAAGGAATTGATTACATTGATGTTTTTATTTACTTTAGGCACCAAAGCAAGGTTTGTTAACTTAGGAAAGAAAGAATGAAAAATTCCCACATTTGCACATAATCTTAAATTAGCACGTAATCTTAAACTGGGGTCATCCTAATTTTCTTTTTAATCTTAACTTCAAAAAATGTTACAGTTAATATTTCTTTTAAAAGGTTAACAGTGGTAATAAGTAACTAAATGAAACTAAGTAACAATATGTAACTATAATATTTTATAATAAAACAAGAGTCTTCCTAGTTTTTAGTTGCTTTCAGTAAAAAGAAGAACCACATAGTGCTGAAATGTTCTATCAAAAAACAAACGCAGAATTACATGCTTTTGACAAATTTTACAAATGCTCAAAAGATGCCTGATTCTTTTTTTTTTAAGTCCTGATTTTTTTCTTGCTGTTTCCCTTCTAGTGTTATTACATTGGAGCAACCAGTGATGCAGCCACCAAAATAACTAATGAGGTATCAAAACCTCTAAGTCATCATATCCCTGTTGAGAAGATTTGTGAGAAGCTGAAAAAGAAAGATAGTCAGATCTGTGAACTGAAATATGGTGAGTACAGATTAAATGTTGGTTATGGAATAAACGGTAACATGAGAAATGCTGAATTGCACTAAAAACCCTCCAACTACAACATTTTCTTTCAACAGTTAAGATTCATAGAATAAAATGATATTTCACTATATTTGTAAAACAGTTAGTTGCAACTAGATGGATTTAGCTAATGTTGAAAAAATTAAATAGGATTGGGCTTGCTTAATATTTGGAAGACCACAAGAACTCCTGGGACTGTAGGATAAACTGTGACACTAAGAAATCATCTCCAAAGGTTGCAGTACTAATTACTTACATATTGTCGTCAGTCAAACAAAAAAGCCATATCGTTATCTGGAGTGGAACTCAATTCAAGGGAGACTTGTACTTGTATATGTACTACTTGTTATTCACAACAGAGTCTAAATGCAGACAAGTGCAGAGTAGTATTAGTAATAATTGTACTAATGTCGTAATTGGGTCGCAGAAATGTTCAAAATATATATGGAATAATTGGGAGACGGCAGAATTATTTTTTATCCTTCATGAATTTTGTTTCCTCCGTAAGCTATACTATTTGTGGTAATGAATTCTGTGAAGAATATCTATTTTCCTGTCATTATTCCAGTATTTTGCTTTATTGGATCACTTGAAGGGATTGTACTGTCAGAGAAGGAAAAAGATCTAGTTTAAACATTAAAAATATTGTAGGATAAAGATAATAGAAAATTACTGAGAATAAGCTTCATTGAGTAAAATATATTACAAGTAAATAGAGCCATTCTATGTTTATCAGCTAAAATACATACTTCTTTCATTACCAGGTTGGTAATGTTTGGAAATAATAGTAATAATACATTTTATGTGTACGGCCACCCATCTCATCTGAATGAGTCTGGGCAGCTTACATCAGGTTAAAAACAATAACCCATTAAAAGTAAGTATACAAACATGTAAAACCATCCGTAACAATTCCAAAACAAAAACAATTACGATGATTAATAGCAGAGCCACCTTTACATAAGCTCAGCAAGCCATTATAAAAGCCTCCACCATTGCCAGACACCCAAGCACAGCAATAGACTTCAGGGCCTTCCTAAAATGCAAGCGGTTTGGAGCAATCTAGTTCCAGGGGAAGGATGTTCCACAGGGTGGACTCCATAGCAGAAAGGGCTTACTTCCTTGGTCCAGGGATATGGCATTCTTTTGTAGATAGGACTCATACAATGCCTGTCCTGCTTGGTCCCAGTAGGATGATGGGTATAATAGCAGTGACAGAGCCTTAGTTAACCCAACCCCATGCAATGTAGGCTTTGATAGGTCATTACCACCACCTTGAATGGAACCCGGAAACATACTGGCAACCAGTGCAGCTTGTAGAGAGCAGAGGTAACTAATGTATGCTGATTTAGGAGCCTGTGCTGCCACATTCTGTATTAGCTGGAGGTTTGGATGCTCTTATTTTTTATGATACCAGAAATCTATTGGAAAACACCTTAACAATTTATTTTGTTCTCAACTCTAGTACAGGTATTCCTTCCCTTACCATTACAATTTCACCCAAAATTTCTGTTGCTAAGTGAGATAGTTATGAAGTGAGTGTTGCCCTTTTATGATCTCTGTTAATATGGTTGTTAAGTGCAGTTGTTAAAGTTAGTAACAGTTAAGTGAATCTGGCCTTCCCCATTGACTTTGCTTGTCAGAAAATCACAAAAGATTATCACATGACCCCCAGACAGCGCAAGCATCATAAATATGAACCAATTGCCAAGCATCCAAATTTTGACCATGGGAATGCTGCAATTGTTGTAAGCGTGAAAAATGGTTGTAAACTACTTTTTTCCAGTGTCGTAACTTCGGTCACTAAATGGTTTGTTGTAAGTTGAGGAGTACCTGTATAGATTTGAGTTATGAAAACTTGGCATTCTTCCTTAAAGTTGACCTGAAGTAATCTTTTGTTTTTTAAAGAAATCCATATATTTAGCCAGTACAAGCTGAGCATAGTAACAATAACAATATACTTTTATATTCTCCAGTAAGTATATCTTCTTTTTTTTCAGTAAAAGATACAAAAAGGGGGAAATAGTGGACAAATTTGGGGAATAACTCATTTCAGCATTGTCTACCATTAACTGGAAATAGTTCTTCTAAACTATGTAATATCAACTGCTTGAAAATAATGATTGTCATCAGGATACAGATTATAGCGATTAATCACCTAACACTTGGATTGTTAATGCATCATATACTAATATGTACTCCTTTTCTCACAGATAAACAAATTGACCTGAGTACTGTCGACCTGAAGAAACTGAGAGTAAAAGAATTGAAAAAAATTCTAGACGACTGGGGTGAAACATGCAAGGGCTGTGCAGAAAAATCGGATTACATTCGTAAAATCAATGAACTGATGCCTAAATATGCACCAAAAGCAGCCAGTTTGCGGACAGATCTCTGACCACCATAGTGACCTCTATCAAGTAGCAAGATATACAAACTACGTTAAACTTTTTCTTTCCCGGAAAGCTGTTTTTTGTAACTTATTTAACTGGGTTTCAAGTATCAAATTGAAGGGATTCTTGCAATGCTGGTTCAGATGCCTCGTTATGTCTTAAGTTTTTATTTCTGTTGTTTTGGATTTATTATAAGAATTTGACATACATATGGGATTTTTAAATAAAAGTTATGAAACCTAGTGTCAAGTCGAACTAAAAGAATTGGCATTAGTGTCAGGACTGAACGTTGCACTTTTCCAGCACTACCTAAGTAACAATGGTTTGGAGATGATCTATGAGACAGTATAGCTTGCATTCACTGTTATTACTGTCTTTCTACATTCCATTCTTTAAAATGCTGAACACTTTTATTACATATCCAAATTAAATGTTTTAAGTGCTCATCTTGCACATCTTTCACAGGAGTTAATTTCTTTCAATAAGAAAGGTGTTCCTTCTGTCTTTGGTTCCACTGTCAGTACATATGACAATCCTTTCTTATTCAACTACAAATATGCAGTGGCAGAAGGGGAAGATATTCTGATGTACACTTTTTTAAAGAGGATGAGTTCTACTTTCATATGATGCACATAATATAAACTGTTAAAGCAATTTGTTGTGCTGACTCTTAGTTCTGGGGTTCCGGCATTTTTTGTTCAGGGTGGAATTAAATCCATGTGATTCATTTTTGAGAAAAAAACTGTGAACAAGAATTCCTTCATTTGTGACCAATGTAAATGTGAAAGCACTGAGGTGTTTAAAAAAGAGACATCTATTTAGAATTGTTAGTTTTGTTCAGGGAAGTCCCTCGGTTTTAAATATATGCAGGAATTCCAATTCCTTTGATGTGGGATCATTTGAACAGATTTGGCAGGGAGCAGCTATTGAACATTTTGCAGAATGTTATGTCACCAGAAACTAAAAATGGGAAAACTGAGGAAGGCACCTCTACAGGAAAAACTACCTTTAATTAATGAATACTTTGAAGTAATACTGAACAATAGGTATGGTTGTGAGCCCAAGGATAAGGTCGTCTAGGTTTTTTTTAAAATTGGAATTTATTAAATGAGGTGAGATGCTTATGTCTACATGCAATGAATCATTTGAAATTGAAAACGGCATACACAAATAGTTACAAAGAAGAACCTACTAAGATTATGAATGTCTGCAGGGCAGAAAGTCTAAACTAAAGACAGATTTCCTTGGATTGTCCTACTGTTAAGTAAAATTCAAGTGATGTAAAAAGCACTTGAAAAAGTTAGTTCCTGTTTTCATTAAGCAGGATAGTAATTCCCTTTTAATAGGCTTTAAACTGCAGCTGCAAACTATTCCAAGTAATTCGGTGCGTCTTCGAAAGTATGTCATTTAGAGAAAACGGTAATTGAAATCCTGTTGGATCAGTTTAATAACTGACGTCATTTGTCTTGCTTTCAAAAAGCCGTAACAACTTTTAATGTAGAATCTCGTCCATTCTGGCGATCCGAGAGCTGCATACTTAAGACCAGAAGCCTGTGGGCCTCTATGTTAGCGATTCTAATTCGGAGTCCCGCGCGTCTAAGGAGTCCCGCGCCTGTGGCTATCACTGCACTTTATACTAAACAACCTCCCGGCAGGGTGTTAGGTCAGAGCCCTGAAGCGCAGCCCTGACCCGATCCTCCCAGCCCTCGGCCGCCCGCTCTACGGCTCCACTCCCCGGTCCGCTGGCGCCAAAAGAAGTCGCCAGGCCAGCTAGGAACCGCGTGGCGCAGAAAGCCAGGGCGCCGCTGGCGAGGTGATAAAGGAGCAGGGCGCGAGACACGCACCCGCGCCGCCCTCACCGTGACGGGCGGGGGCGCAGGATGATGACGCCGAAGAGGCGCACGGCGCGGCAACTGGGCAGAGCCGTCTTCGCTCGTTCCCTTTTGTCCAAGATGGCAGCTGCCGCCGGAGGCGCCTCTTGAATCGCGGGCCCCGAAGCCATGAAGCGGGCGACCGAGCGGGATTCCAGCCCGGGCGGGTCCGGGGGGACACGTGGCGCCTCCTCCACGAAAAGGCCTCGAGAGCGCGAGAGCAGCGCCAGCGGGGGCGGGGGAGGCGGCGGCGGCAGCAGTAGCAGCCGGCGGGGCCCACACCGGAGTTCGGGCGCCTCCTCCTCGTCATCCGTTTCCACCTCCGTCTCGTCGCGCAGCAGTCGGGACAAGCCTGCCGCTGGCGGTTCCAGCTCGCGGAGCCATCGCGGGGAGGAGCGGCCGGGAGGCGGAGGCGATTCGAACCACCGCGCAGCCTCCTCCAGCGCTAGGAACAGCAGCAGCCAAACCGCCGCCGCGGCCCCTGCCGTCCCGCTTCCCCTGCCCTCCTCCTCCTCCTCCTCGTCTTCTCGGGCGCTGGGGCTCGTCAAGGCCAAAGTGACCGCTGCGGCGGTGGTTGCCCCTTCCTTGCTCCTGGGTGGGCCTCCATCCGTGGCAGCCCCGTCGCTCCTCTTGGCCCCTGGCCTTGGTTTGCCGGCCGGGGTGGCTCTGGCAGGTGAGCCTCCTGGCTCCAGTGACTACAAGACTCTGCTTGTGAGTGGCCTGGGCCCAGCCTTACCTGACCAGCTGCTGGAAGATGGCCTCTTTCGCCAGTTCCAGAGATTTGCTAGCGGCGGTGCCAGCGACATTAGTGTCAAGCTCTCCCACACACCTGAACTTGGCCGTGTTGCTTACGTTAACTTCAGGCACCCTGCCGATGCCCGTGACGCTCGACGGCATGCCAGAGCCAGGCAGCTTCTCCTTTATGATCGGCCTCTGAAGGTGGAGCCTGTGTACCTGCGAGGGGGCCGCCGGAGCCGTACTCCTCCACCTACCCCCTCTCCTGAACCCTTGGCTTTTCTCCCTCCTATCCATGGTGTTTATCCATATAAACAGAGATCGCTGTCTCCTGTTGCCAGCCCTTTGCTGAGAGAGCCTAGACCTCGACACGCTCAAGCTGCAGCAGCAGCATTTGCCTTGGAAGCTGTTGCCTTGGGACTTTCTCGAGAGAGAGAGAGGGTGCTGGATTATTATGGGTTATATGATGAACGGGGCCGTCCTTACAGCTATCCCTTAGTGGCTGAGGAGGATTTAATGCCAGAAGATGACCAGAGAGCTACCCGGAATCTCTTCATTGGCAATCTTGATCACAATGTCTCTGAGGTGGAACTCAGGCGTGCCTTTGAAAAATACGGTATCATTGAGGAAGTGGTGATCAAGAGGCCTGCACGGGGTCAAGGTGGAGCCTATGCCTTCCTTAAGTTCCAAAACCTGGACATGGCACATCGGGCCAAGGTTGCCATGTCTGGGCGGGTTGTTGGCAGAAACCCTATCAAAATTGGCTATGGGAAAGCCAATCCGACTACCCGACTTTGGGTTGGTGGCCTTGGTCCAAGTACTTCTCTAGCTGCTCTTGCTAGGGAGTTTGATCGTTTTGGTAGCATTAGGACTATTGACTATGTGAAAGGGGACAGCTTTGCCTATATTCAGTACGAGAGTTTGGATGCTGCTCAAGCTGCCTGTGCACAAATGAGAGGCTTCCCTTTGGGCGGTCCAGACAGGAGACTTAGAGTAGATTTTGCTAAAGCTGAGGAGGCCCGCTATCCTCAGCAGTATCAACCTGCACCACTTCCTGTACACTATGAATTGCTCTCTGAAGGCTATAGCAGACACAGGAGCCTGGAGCAAGACTTAAGGGTGAGGGATAGGACTCCTCCTCATCTCCTTTACTCAGATAGAGAAAGGAGCTTTCTAGAGGCTGATTGGGCCAGCTCTGTCAAAAATGCAGAGCGCAGAAATAACTTGGAGGCATACAGTCGTTCAGCACGCAGCCGGAGTGGAGAACGTTGGGGCAGCGATAGTGATCGCAGTGTTCTCAAGCCCTGGGAGGAAAGGCGTAAACGTCGTAGCCTTTCCAATGACCGTGGGAGGACTACTCATTCCCCATATGAGGAGAGAGGCAGGACAAAGGCTGGTGGGCCAGGAGCTGATCGTAGCCCCGATCGGGTTCGGAAGGAGAATCACACTACAGAATCTACCACAGAGAAAGAACAAAATAACTCGCTGCAGAATGATCGACATACATTAGAGGAGAAACCTCACCGTGAAACCTCTGATCCTCCCCAGCCCAAAAAAAGAGACAGTGAACGTAATCACCGAACCGGTGAGTCTGAATCAAAGGCTCACGAAGAGTCCAAATCTGAAACAAAGAAGTTAAAAACATTATCCGATTATGCCCATACCCTGCAGCTTGCTTGGAATGGACTACTTGTCCTTAAAAACAGCTGCTTTCCTACATCTATGCACATCCTTGAAGGAGACTTGGGAGTCATCAACGGGCTTCTGAAAGACCATTTGTCTGGTGGAAAGCTAACACAGCTTAAGATTGCTCAGAGACTTCGGTTGGATCAACCCAAACTGGATGAAGTAACTCGCCGTATCAAGCAAGGGAGCCCTAATGGCTATGCTGTGTTACTAGCTACCCAGGCTGCTCAAGGAGCAAGTGCTGAAGGAACCTTCCCAGTGGCGGAGCCTGGCTTACAAAGACGGCTTCTCAGGAACCTGGTCTCTTACTTGAAACAAAAACAGGCTGCAGGAGTCATCAGCCTTCCTGTGGGAGGGGCAAAGGGCAGGGACAGCACAGGCATGCTATATGCTTTCCCTCCTTGTGAATTTTCTCAGCAGTACCTCCAGTCCGCACTAAGAACATTGGGAAAGTTAGAAGAAGAACATATGGTGATAGTGATAGTCAAAGACACTGCCTAGTATTTACTCTGTATCCATTTCCTCTTTATCTCCTTGTTTCAATTCTCTGTTTTCTTTGTGTCTCACACTGCCTGGTTGCTTTTAGGGCCAATTATTTTGAGTGAGGCCCTAAGAGTCCTCCCACCAAATTCTACAATTGTATTAGTTTCTAATATTTTTAATACCCATTTTAATGAATCCCATTTTGTTTCTTTTACTACGTGACACTGTCTGCTGTGTTCTTATTTTTTAAAAAAAATATATGGAAAGTTGTCAGTAAAGCCTTGTTCGCTGATGGATTTTTTTAATTTTGTGCAGTGTCCTGGTTTCTGTAGTCTGCCAATGGCTGGCTCTGTGTTCCAGAATATAACAGCTAATGACTTTACCAAATTCAGTTCTTCCACTCTACTGCTATTTAACACTATTATGCCAGTTTTGTGCTCTTTTTATTTCTTCAGTAATTGAAGCCTGGTTGCTTCTTTCCTCAGTGGTAGGTAGCTAGTGCTTTTTTTTTTTTTTAAAGACAAAAGTCAGTGTATCCTTCAGACCAACCTTTTCCTGGTGGATGAAAGCTTTTAAGGTGGTCTTAGCCAAAGAACAGCTGTGTAAAACTTAAAAGCTTCAGTTAATCCTCTGCAACTCTTGGTGCAATTAAAAAAAATGAGGCACCTTGGGTTGTTTTTTTCTTCCTCTTGATTGTGTTGATTGTTGGATTGATTATAATATTGCAAACTGAAAGCTGTTCTTAAATATCTTGTCTAGTAATAATTATGGGCTTCTCAGGAAGACAAATAACCAGGCACTTGAGCAGGACCTGATAACCACATCTCTGTGATTGTGTTGTTCAGCTCCTTCATCAGTTAATACAGCAAAAATAAAAGACAAAACTTGACAAATTGCCTGCTTATAGTGTTTGTACTATCTGATATAATACTATCAAATTCTAAACTGCATCCCTTTTTATATCCAAAGGGTTAGGCAAATGTATGTGCTACTTGGATGTATTCTGAAGCACTCTTATCACAATTGTACAAATGCAGGATATAGTTTGTCTATACCCTTTACCACAGACAATTATGTTGTACGTAATGCATATACATCTATTTTACCTTAGACTGGAAATTGTAATTGCAAATGAATTCGCATATAACTATTGCTGGAATATACTACTTTCATAAGGTTTTTGTGAAGTAGTCCCGTGAGGACTGTCATGTATATTCTTTTTAAAAAGCATGTAATGAAATCCTCCCCCTTCTACAGCCAAGTTAGCTCCCTTGTGTCTAACTTACGCAATTAATAAATAGCTGTAAACCTAGTTACTTTCCAGAATTCACTGTTGCAGTTCACTTCTCCAGAAATTTGAAACTCCCAAAAGAATGGGAAGGTAGTTGGAAGAAAGGCTTGTAGATGATTTAGCAGATACATGAATCAGAGTAGCAAGAAGTACACTACGGACAGATGCTATACTTTGTACAATCTATTTCCACTCTTTCCTTTCCCAATGCACTTAAGGAATGCTTTCAATAATACAAGGTGGTCATGATTTTGCTCAGGAAGAGCATTTTCACACCCCAAATTCTTAAGCTGTTGTTCAAACAGCTAGTTTGGAATTGAGATCAGACTCCTTCAAACTAGATGTGCTGGGACTATAAAACATTTGGTTGAAAATTCTCTTGAGTTACAACATTAGGTTGAAAAAGACAGTTTATATAATATAAACATTGTTCTAAGGGTTTTTGGTATTTTCTATATCATAGCATTTGTGTCTAAATTGCTAATCCTTAAAATGTGCAAACACGTGTCACGAGAATATATCAATATGCAATTTTACAGTGGTGATATTCCTGAATATTTCAAGTATTAACAGTAATTTATTACATAGAAGCTGCTCAATGGTGTTGTGGTTAATCTATGTGCTGTAAACAGGATACCCACTGCATTAGCATGAACAAATCACTTCATCTTCTATCAACGAGCAAATAATTTTAATGAAAGGTTTCTGTCTCACAACCATTGAAAATCATAAAAGGTGTTGCAAATAGACTTCAAAGAAGTTTTTAAATCAATTCTTAAAAAAATTATCTAAAAACTATGCAAATTATATGAAGTAGTAACTGTTTTCTGCTATTTCCAAATATTAATGTGTGTATTTTATGTATATTTTTATGTTGTGAGCCACCCAGAGTTAGGCAGTCATACAAATAATAGTAATAATAATGAGGTAAATTTTTAAACCCATAATTTTTCTTTTTTTTTAAATCTACATAAAATGAAGTGTCCACTCATTTACTTGGGCTTCTATACTTCAACACCTGTACTATTGATACGAAACAGTATGAGCAATTATTTAACAAATCTGAGACTACCTGATCCTGGGAAATAAGCTAAGTAGAAAGTAAAGAGGCCCTGGGCTGAAAACTGGGAAAATATAAGTCCTAGTAACTCCTCAGGCACAAGGCCAATCTGGTGACCTTGGAAGCCTGTCGCTCAGTCAGGCAATGGCAAACCACTTGAGAAAAAGGTTGTCAAGAAAAGTACAGGGACTAGTCCAGTTACCAGGAATCAACAATGACTAGAAGGCACAAAGGAAACTAAATAGAAGTAAAGATGTACAGTAATCTCACCTCAATTTTGTAAAGCATTCTATAATTTTACCTCAAACTGGCACTTTTAATCAGCATGCGTCTACATTTATTTCATTTTAGGCTCGTTTGTAAAGCTGCTCTGATTACGTCAAAGTCTGGTTAGGCTGTGAACAAATATTTTAAAAATACAAAGAGGCTCTATGAAGTTTTTGCTCTTACCTTTAGGGGTTGGGGGTTTAGGTAACCTCAATTGCAAATATTTTGTTGGCTTTAGCATGTAATACCTGCAGCTTTATATCCAACCCGTATCTTCATTTTTACAAAATCAACAGTTTTATTTGCAACTTATAATTAAGATTTTTCTATGAGCAAACACTAAATGATGAATAAGAAACATGCTAGTGCAACGCCACAAAACAATCTATTAACTCTTCCTAACTAACAAATTGCATTTGTTTACTCTATGGTGGTGTAGTGGCTTATATAAAGCAACATTTTTAAACTATGGATGTAGGTAGAGAATAAACCTTAGATATTGCATTGTAATGCACAATATGCTTTAGTCTAATCATATTGTTTGTATTTTTATTCTGCAAGTTTGGAAGGTTTGGATCAGTTATATAACTGTGATGAGCAATTTGCCTATATCTTAATTAGTTAAACCAAACATGATTATCATCTAAGCTAATTTGAACACTTCATTGATAGACTAATGGTACATATTAATAAAGTCAGATTTATCAACTGTTAAGAAAGGAACTTGGGCACAACTCTTGGCCAAAGGAAAAAAAATTAAGGCAGCCTGCTAATATGCAATTTGCTGGAACAAGCCAAGTTAAGCCCATGTCTGGCCAAGACATATCCAGCAGATTTTCCAACTCTAGTACTAGTCAATTGAACAAATGTGTTCATAATGCAATTTTTAAACAGAATCAATTAACATTTATTAAAAGGAAATGTTTTGGAACAAGCTAACTGTAAGGAGAAATGTGTGAACTTTTAAAAACAGTGCTATTCATAGCCTCAGTACATACTAAGTTCAAAGTTTTTAATTCAGAAAGGCTGGAACAATACCAATGAATGAGCTATAAGCTCTGCTGAGTGTGGCTTCTTACTCACAAAGTGGAAGATAAATGCTGGTCTACATTGTAGAACTACTACAAAATTTTGTAAAGATGCTATAATGTAAGTAACATCTGAAGCCAACAGCTCCAACCTCTACAGATCTTTATGTATTTGCATCATCTTATCAATCTTCTAGATATAACTAGAAGGAAGGAATCAAAACTCTGGAAGAGTTCACTTTTTTGGTTTCCAAATTATTTTGGCAATGGCCACGCACAACTGGAGATCAGAATTGTCACATAACTCAGTGAACGTGATTCATCTGATAAGTGTTCATTGTGTGCTCTTGTTAAATCAGTCCAGAGAGCACAACTCTTACATTCCTGGGAATGCGGCAGCATTTGTTATCTCCATTACCCATATTTTGCATTTTAAGTAACTTATTGCCTTCATTATCTTCACTTGGAACAAGGTGGCAATAGATGTGACAGAAGCTCAGAGTTATGAACAGACAGGACTTGGAATCTTATTTTTATTTATTTTTTAATAAATACAATTTACATTAAAGGAAAAGGATTTCAATTTGTAATTTTCACAGAGGGCGGAAGGGTACGGGGAGAGAAGATTAAAAATGCCAACGTCAAAAAGAGGGGGGGGGTATGTGGCATAGGTGGAGGGAGGCTTGCAAGCCAGAGTCCTTCATCTCCAGCAGTGGCAGGTTCTTAACAAGACCTGGCTGGACCTTCAGCCCTCCATCAAAGCTCCTGCAGCAGGAGCCCTCGTAGGGCTTCAGACAGGACAAGAGGCATAGGACAAAAAAAAAAAGACCTTTTCACAGCAGGTAGCAACAACTCCATTAAAAAATCATGTTCAAAATAATCCACGGTTTCACAATCCATGATTCAATCCCACACTTCAGTAAAAATGCCCTATGTTATTTTTAAATTTGTTTTTTTTTTTTTAATCTCCAAGAAAGCCATTTGGATAATTTAAATTTTAGAAGGATACAAAGTCATACCTTCTTTATAATACCTGCCTGGTTTGTTTGTTTTTATTCCCCCCCCCTTTTTTTTCCCCCCCTTGTTTGTCTCATATAAAACTATTTCTGTTCTTTAGGAAAGAACTATTTATACAAAGAAAATATATTGTGAAATATCTTCAGAAGTCTTCCTGGAGAAGTCATGTCTTGGCCTAAAAAAAATGACCAAAAAAAAAAAAAAGGCAGAGAAAATAAAGGCCAAACCCCTGGTCTCTGTAGAAAGACTCTGGACCTATCCTGAGCCATGTCTGTCCACTGCAAAACTGGAAGGACTGGATTTCTGCCATGTAGAAGAAGCTTGAGAGGGTGCTCGGTATTCGCCTCTTGATTGGCTTTCCTGGCTTCCGAGTCGGGAGCTTCTCCGCTGCCAAAGTCCCGGAGGAAGACTGCGCCTCATTCATTCAGAGACAAAATTATGTCATCTTCCAGATCCAAGTTATCTGAGCTGTCAGCTGCAAAGGGTGACCAATTCGTTGTTAAAAATATTCAGTTATTAAGGTTTGATAAAGCAAGAGGACCTTGTCCAAATGAAATACTGTAGGTTAAACAGCTATGAAACATTTCTTGTTTTTATTATAAAGGAAAGGTGGTTTACACTTGAAAGGAATGAAGACATTAACAACGTATTATATGGTCTTTCCCCAATCTATTGCCTTCCTAGAACTTCCACCCAGTGCAGCCCTCCTTTGTAATGTGGTTCTGTTAGAAGAGCTAAAAATGTCCAATTTCTAGGACAGAATCATTTGCAACATGAAGAATTTGGCACTACTATTATTTTGTTTTTATCATTGTTAATTAATCATTATAGTTTTCCCCTGGAATTTTTCATGGAGAAGGATGTTCTAGAGTGCCATTTTTGATTCATGAAAATACAAGGATACTTTCAAAAGCTATACCAACAAATCTCATTTCAGGCAGAATTTGGTGATCCATCCAGAGGTTTTATATGAAGGATGGAAAAACGTTCGAGACAAAATTCCATTTTGTGGAAGAGTGGAAAACCCACAGCAAAATCCCTCTGAAAAACAAAAAGGTAATACAAAGTGGAACATTTTACCAGAAATTCCCAGACCAACTGAAAGCAGTGAAAAGAAAGTTATGTCATATTTGACAGGGAATTGCTGAAGGTTTGCATAGAAGCAAATTTTTTCCTCCTCTCACATACCTCAAAATAGACACTTGATTTTCTTTTTCTCCTTTGACACTGTTATCTAATCACATAATTTCATTGATGCCTGCCTTTAATTTCATTTCCTCCTATATCTCATATTCTTTCCGTTGCTAGCTTTTTAATAACTATTACGATCATGGCTAGTGTTACACTGATTGGTCAATGACCAAAGAAAAAACATGAATACAAAATAACTCAATAATGAGAGTTATTGAGATATTAATATACTATGTAGTATATTATGTAGCAGTTACAGGTAAAAAAAAAAGATGAATCTTTCACGCAAGGCATAGCTAACCAGACCATTCATTTCAAACTTTGCACTTTCCGGCAGAAAGCACAACTGAACAAAGCTTAACAACTCTCAAGGAGATTTTTATAACTTAATCAGCCAATAGAAAGAACGCCCCTTGCACTTCAGGAGGGAAATGCTAACTTCGAATGTGGAATGTAGCACAAGGAACAACATAGCAAGATGGGTGAAACAGTCTCAGTGGTCTCCAAACACAGATTTAGGCATGGTGGTACCGAACTTCCCCTTTAACACCTTCAGGGCTAATGCTGTTGTATATATCCTTTTATGCCCAATTATTCAGGATAGCAAATAGCTGAGACCACCAATCTATCTTTGGCAGGTTCAAGTCAAAGACTCTATCGGATGTTTAATATTGCTTTCTCTAGTCCAAAATTAATAGTGATTGGGCTAAGACACAGCAACTGGACAAAGGGAAGGATACCTTCTTCCCAAGAAGAGGCAAAATTATCATCAAGGGTATGGGTGCTGCATCGCTGGTACAGCGATGTTATTTAAGATCTATATGAAACTGCCAAGGACTCATCTGCCAGTGATGGTAAAGCATCACTGGTTGCTGAAGATACTTAATAATACATTGCCACCCTTGGCCAACCTGTAGATACCATGGAAAACCTGAACTGATATATCTAAAAGCTGTTAGAATCTAGATACGCTGAAATAATCTCTGATTAAATCCTCCCAAAACTGAGTTGCTCTTCATCTAAAAATACCGTGGCACTCTGGTGGAGCCCGTTTTGTACACTGATTAAAATACCAGGCTTGAAACCAGGAGCCTGAGAGTTCTAGTCCTAGCTGGCAGAAAAGCCAGCTAGGTGACTTTGGGCCAGTCACTCTCTCAGCCCAACTCGTCACACACGCGGTTGTTGTGAAGAAAGTGGGAGGAGGGAGGGGCATAGTAAGTATGTTTGCCACCTTGAATTATTTATAAAAATAATAGAGATTAAAAATGTTTTTCAAACCTGGTAACATGGGTTCTGATAGCTACCAAAGAAAGAGGTGGAATTCAAAGTGCTGGTGATTATCCACACAGCCTTGTCTGATGCAAAGCTGGCTTATTTTAGGCTTTGCCTTGCCAACATGGATTCCCAACCTCTTGAAAAGGCCTACTGAGAGTACCTCTTCTGCCTATGGGACAAGGATTGGCAGCACTGATCCCCGCGTTCTGGAACGGGCTTCCCTGGCAGCAAAAAGAGCAGAAGACTCCTTCCTCGCATTCAACAAAAAGTTCTGTTTTTAAAAAAAATTTATTATCCTTTCGGCCCTAGCTGATTGAATCACATCAAATAAATACACTGCAAACATTCATTCTGTTATTTATGATACTGTCGTAATTTGCTGCTTTTGTTGCTTTCTACCTTATTGTCGCCTAGCTCGCAGCAAGATTGGTCCACATAAATCACACAGAATCAAAATAATTTCGAGAAGACTTGTGCATACTTACTATCACCGAGGATCAGCTCAACTTCCTCATCTGCATCAGAGTCGTCGTCTTCTCCGTCGTCTCCCTCTTCGAGCAGGTTGGCCACTTCCTCATCTTCGGAAGGGGAGAAGTCATTTTCTCCATCCTCGCCCGCATTCTCATTGTTCTCTTCTTCCTCCAAATCAGCTTCCAGCAACTGATCGGTGTCCAGCTCATCTAGGTCATCAGTATCATCTTCATCTTCATCATCATCCTCTTCCTGTTCCTCCTCTTCCTGATAAAGACATGACAGAAGCCCCATAAGAAGGATAAAACCTGAACAGGGTAACAAGCAAACCGGGAGAGATAATTCCAGGTCACTTGCCGAGCATTATATTGATAGAGTTTAGAAAAGTCCCTCTCCAGCTTCTATCAAATGTAGTGCAGTAATAGTTGTAAGGGGACACGGTGGTTCAGTGGTTAAGACGCTGAGCTTGTCGATCAGAAAGGTCGGCAGTTCAGCGGTTCAAATCCCTAGCACTGCGTAATGGAGTGAGCTCCCATTACTTGTCCCAACTTCTGCCAACCTAGCAGTTTGAAAGCATGTAAAAATGCAAGTAGAAAAATAGGGACCACTTTGGTGGGAAGGTAATAGCGTTCCGTGCGCCTTCGGCGTTTAGTCATGCTGGCCACATGACCACGGAGACGTCTTCGGACAGCGCTGGTTCTTCAGCTTTGTAACAGAGATCAGCACCACCCCCTAGAGCCAGAAACGACTAGCATGTGTGAGGGCAATCTTTACTTACCTAGTAGTTGTAATGGTAGTAATTTTACTTATAATGCACTTATAACTAATGCAATAAAGCTGCACATTATATAAAAATGCTACAATAATAAATTACTATCAACTATAGTACCTAAATATAGTGTCTAAACTAAAAGAACTATGACATAAATGATAGATCAAAACTTATACCTATGTCAAGCAACCAAAAAATTGCTGAATATACTGACAACAATAAACATAATGATAGCCATGATTTTTAAACATAATTTAACACAATATGTGGCTTGGTTTACACTCATCACTATGCCACAATGAATTGGGAAGGAAGAAATAAATCATATTTTTAAAAGTATTTTAAACAGCTTTAGAAAAAATGATAACCTACATTCAGGGGTTTAGATCCTGACTATTGAACTTTCATCCAAATTCATAGTTATGGTAACTTGTCCCACTGATTAAATTATCTTTGATTCAAAGTTCAATGAAATTAATTCGAAACCTGCCCACCATCACTAGCTCCCTTTAACTGTATTGTTCCTGAACCAGTGAGCATCTTTAATTTGGTCGAATAATCTACTAGTAAATGACTGATAGTCTGACCTCCTTTCCTTTGCAGCAACCCCTCAGATATTGGAAGACTGCTATCATGTCTGCCCTAGTCCTTCTTTTCATAACCCAGTTCCTGCAACTGTTCTTCATATATTTTAGCCTCCAGTCTCCTAACTAGTCAAAGACATTCCCATACTTTCCATTTAATATAAAAGGTTCTTCCTGACCCTTCCTCCAATTATTCTATGACCAAATTGTACTATTTTTCTAAAACAGTATAAACTGTAAATTGTAAAAGGAAATATGTCATTACTTCTCAACAAGAAAATTGCTGCTTTTTAAAAAGGCAAAGGAGGAATCATTTCACCTTATTATTAGACTACATCTTCTCACCCTGCATTAATATATCAAGATAAATGCCATTCATACATTCCAAAAACATGTCATACTTAAAATGCAATTCGGTTATGCAAATGGCTAAGCTATACATAATTATGTTTATTCATTAAGATGTATTAACAACATAGCCAAACCTTACAGGTCTTCAATGTAAACTTATTAATATGTGCACAAGTAGTGGCATTTATAATAAAAGCTATCTCAATTAATTTGCATCAGTTGTACTTTGCCTCCCTGTAACAAAGCCCCAATATAAGCACATTTCTAACAGAAGGGCAATATAATTCAGCCTGGCAATATAATCTAGGGATACACGTTAGTGGGAAGGTATCTTTTCTTATT